AGGGGGTCTAAACACCTGGTCTTGAAGTGGTTAAATTAACTTGGTTAGAAAGTCAAGATGTGCATTTCATCATTGGTCCCTTACAGTGCTGCTGTAGCTGTAATAAACAAAATGAGGAAGCAAAGTGACAGTTGTGTAGTTATCTAAGTGATTACTGGACAAGAAGTCAGCTATTTATCAGCACTTGTCCCCACAATACCAACTTCATAATAAATATCCCCTTTTTAATCATCGGGGAATGTAAAACTAGTTTTGTGAAAAGAGGTCATTTGTTACCTTCTCGCTCTTTAAGTTTTGAGAAAAGTGTTTCAAATGTTCACAATATAAAACAGTAAAGTACCTTCTGCTGCTTCATGTGATTCACTATTTTCTTGTACATTGGATTTCCAGGACTCTGAAAACAGAAGATCAGCTTTTCTTGCGATACACTGTTGAATTTCGATGTTCTCGAGATTTCTCTCCTTCCTGGTTAAAAAGAGGAAACAAAAACAATTTAATGAATACGTCACAGGGCTTTCCCGGGCTAAATGTCTTTCACAGCTCTACAAGTGAAACACACTCATCAATTTATAACTAGCATGAAGCAAGGTGCACATGGAAGGGCTTTACACAGTACAAAAGCAAACATTTCCCAGCACACTCGCCAGCCAGCAAAAAAATGACAGAGGTTTTAGTTGCACATTTCCCTCCTAGCCACACTGAGCTGCCATTGTGATGTGCTGGGCTTCTGGTGTGTCCCCGTACCTTTGAGGAGGATTGGGCTGCCTCCTGGCAAACCTGCACCCAATGTATCCAAGATGGAGGTCATAGAATAAAGTTAGGACCACACTACACAGCAAGGCCTTGGCGAGGCAGTGCGGCTTCCACATATTTTGTAAAAGCTGTGCAACTAAAACCTCTGCCTTCAACCCTAATAGTTAGACTGGGTCATTTGGTTTGACTGGATGGCTGGTGAGTGTGCTCATCAGGGTGGCTGAGACCATACAATGCATATTTCCCCCTGCCAGGGCAGGACAGCTGAGACCATACAATGCATATGTCCCCCTGTCAGGGCAGGGCGGCTGAGACCATACAATGCATATGTCCCCCTGTCAGGGCAGGGCGGCTGAGACCATACAATGCATATGTCCCCCTGTCAGGGCAGGGCGGCTGAGACCATACAATGCATATGTCCCCCTGTCAGGGCAGGGCGGCTGAGACCATACAATGCATATGTCCCCCTGTCAGGGCAGGGCGGCTGAGACCATACAATGCATATGTCCCCCTGTCAGGGCAGGGCGGCTGAGACCATACAATGCATATGTCCCCCTGTCAGGGCAGGGCGGCTGAGACCATACAATGCATATGTCCCCCTGTCAGGGCAGGGCGGCTGAGACCATACAATGCATATGTCCCCCTGTCAGGGCAGGGCGGCTGAGACCATACAATGCATATGTCCCCCTGTCAGGGCAGGGCGGCTGAGACCATACAATGCATATGTCCCCCTGTCAGGGCAGGGCGGCTGAGACCATACAATGCATATGTCCCCCTGTCAGGGCAGGGCGGCTGAGACCATACAATGCATATGTCCCCCTGTCAGGGCAGGGCGGCTGAGACCATACAATGCATATGTCCCCCTGTCAGGGCAGGGCGGCTGAGACCATACAATGCATATGTCCCCCTGTCAGGGCAGGGCGGCTGAGACCATACAATGCATATGTCCCCCTGTCAGGGCAGGGCGGCTGAGACCATACAATGCATATGTCCCCCTGTCAGGGCAGGGCGGCTGAGACCATACAATGCATATGTCCCCCTGTCAGGGCAGGGCGGCTGAGACCATACAATGCATATGTCCCCCTGTCAGGGCAGGGCGGCTGAGACCATACAATGCATATGTCCCCCTGTCAGGGCAGGGCGGCTGAGACCATACAATGCATATGTCCCCCTGTCAGGGCAGGGCGGCTGAGACCATACAATGCATATGTCCCCCTGTCAGGGCAGGGCGGCTGAGACCATACAATGCATATGTCCCCCTGTCAGGGCAGGGCGGCTGAGACCATACAATGCATATGTCCCCCTGTCAGGGCAGGGCGGCTGAGACCATACAATGCATATGTCCCCCTGTCAGGGCAGGGCGGCTGAGACCATACAATGCATATGTCCCCCTGTCAGGGCAGGGCGGCTGAGACCATACAATGCATATGTCCCCCTGTCAGGGCAGGGCGGCTGAGACCATACAATGCATATGTCCCCCTGTCAGGGCAGGGCGGCTGAGACCATACAATGCATATGTCCCCCTGTCAGGGCAGGGCGGCTGAGACCATACAATGCATATGTCCCCCTGTCAGGGCAGGGCGGCTGAGACCATACAATGCATATGTCCCCCTGTCAGGGCAGGGCGGCTGAGACCATACAATGCATATGTCCCCCTGTCAGGGCAGGGCGGCTGAGACCATACAATGCATATGTCCCCCTGTCAGGGCAGGGCGGCTGAGACCATACAATGCATATGTCCCCCTGTCAGGGCAGGGCGGCTGAGACCATACAATGCATATGTCCCCCTGTCAGGGCAGGGCGGCTGAGACCATACAATGCATATGTCCCCCTGTCAGGGCAGGGCGGCTGAGACCATACAATGCATATGTCCCCCTGTCAGGGCAGGGCGGCTGAGACCATACAATGCATATGTCCCCCTGTCAGGGCAGGGCGGCTGAGACCATACAATGCATATGTCCCCCTGTCAGGGCAGGGCGGCTGAGACCATACAATGCATATTTCCCCCTGGCAGGACAGCTGAGACCATACAATGTATATTTACCCCTGCCAGGGCAGGACAGCTGAGACCATATAATGCATATTTCCTCCTGTCAGGGGGACACAGATGCTGCGTACAGTCTCTCATAGAAGACAATGGTGGTACACAGGTATATGCTGGTACTTGAGTACAGATGCAAATTTCCAGGCGCCAGTGTTTACATTATATGTGCGCCCATCCGCCTGTGTGCATGAGCCCTAGAATCTAGTATTTTGTTGCAGCTATATCACTATTATCCTTCTTTGCAGCTAATCTATAACGTCCCTGTGTGGCCAATACCTTGAGGTTGATTTACTAAAAGGCAAATAGGCTGCTCACCTTGCAAGGGAATTTGTACTTTGCAGGGGACGTTTCCCCCTTTGCTCAGTAAATGAGGTGAAGCTGATGACTTCTATCAACCATGTGCCAGTAAAAATAGTTTTGTTGTTTTTCTTGCACTTAATTGGGGATTCTCTGCAAAGTGGAATTTCACTTCACTTCCATAGCGAAGGGAAACTTCCCCTGCAAAGTGCAAATTCCCTTGCAAATCAATCAGCCTATTTGCCTTTAGTAAATCAACCCCCTTATCTCAACAGGTGATAAAACCAACTCCAGGGCACCATCATTTTTAAAGAACAACTTTTTTTAACCCTTCCAGTGGAACTAAATAATATGGACACCGGCACTCCAACAGCAGATAGAACACGTCTATTTATTGACGTACATGCAGAAAAAAAAGCAGAACACCACACTTAGTGCAACATTTTGGGGTCATGTAGGATCTGATGAAGGGGATCCTACGTGACCCTGAAACGTTGCTTAGTGTGTTATGCTGATTTTTTTTTTGCATGTACGTCAATAAATAGACGTGTTCTACCTGCCGTTGGAGTGCCGGTGTCCATATTCTTTTGTATCACTGAGACAGTGGCCATCCGTCAACTACCGTTGCACCCATGTTACCCTGATGGATGAGCGATCATGAGTGCAATGGGTACATGGCCCTACAAGGGTTAACTTTTTTTAGTACCTAGAAATAGATGATCAGTTAACCCTTGCAGTGCAGGGGTAGTCCCACTGCAATGGGTGCAGTCCCCTGCTTTAAAGTTGTAATGGATTTATAGTTTTTTATTTTTTACCTGGCCCATGTGGTAAGTTTATACTTTATCACTTGCAAACACTTAAAAAACATTGTTTTGATTTTCTCCAAATATCAGAGCACCTTCTGTACTTCCAGCCCCCTGCTTGTATCAGAGATGCATGTAGGACATATACCAGTGCTGGTATCATGTCTCTGCCCCTGTCTCAGCTTGGCCATGCACAAAACAGCCTCAATACCTTCCCGGCAGTTTCCTCTAAAATCACACAGCAGAGCTTTTATACTTTTTGGGCTGTAAATAGTACCAGGTCCTCCCTAGGCCATTGCTTCCTGGGATACCGGACATAGAAATCCCAGAAGACACATCATTGTCACCTAGGCAAGCATGGAGGTGGTGTCGGGTGGAGTTTCATTAAAGATAAAGAACAAAATGAATTTTTAGATAGGGGCAGGGGTTGCAAAGGTCCTTTTTGGGGGTGAAGGTTCTATTTAATGTAACAGCCGCAGAAACACATCTAAGCAGCAGCAACAGGCTGTAACAGCCTCCTCCTAATTCACACCACAGGGCATGCTGAGGTATCCTTCACATCAGGACTCTGTAAAGTCAGACATTTGGATGGGAGCTCTCCATCCAGTATAGGAGTCCAGTACAGGGAGCACGGAGAACTCCATTACCTGTACTGCGGCCACTTGGACAGATCCCCCAGCAGCTGTTTGAAGCCGGCGTGCTCATGCTGCTCGCACTTCAGTAAGGACAGAAGGGTCGGGCCGTGGTAATTCAGGCACTGACGGACCAGGTCTTTATCCATCATAGGCACAGCACGGACCACGCTAACACAGCCAGCGTACAACTCATCACACGGCGGCCGCCATGACAGTTGAGAAGCGTGAGGCCAGGCCGTCACGTGACATCACACCTCATGTGACCGACCCTAGGCGGGGCCTCGCTGGGTCACGTGATGGGTAGACGTACGTGGACAAGGTGGTAGATTTGAGTGGCATGTTGTGGAAGAGGAACCCACCGCTGTGCTTTTATAACGAACTGTGATTGTAATCAGGGCAGGAGATGGGGCTCAATGGGGGGACAGCAACCAATCATCAATTGGTCCTTGGAAATGAAAGCTAGATGCTGATTGGTTGCCATGGTGTTAGTAAATTCCACAGTTTTTCACAAAGACAGGGCGGCCTGGGACACACATAGGTCCTGGGGTTGGTGTGCCTAGGACAGGGGTAGGCAACATTGGCAACTGTTGTGGAACTACAAGTCTCAGAAGGATTTGTAAGACTTTGGCAGCCATAGACATGACTCCTTGATGCATGATGGGAGTTGTAGTTTCAACACATTTGGAGTGTCAAAGTTGCCTACCCCTGGCTTAGGCATTTGTTTATTGTTGTCCACATGTATTTGAGTTTAGGATGTGAGAAATGTGTACAGAATCGTCACCTGGATAGTCCAGCCATTGTAACAACTGTCTGTTTATCCGAGCCCATCATTGGGTGCAATATGCTACTGTTTCCTCTAGAGCCACCTGCCGTAATTTCCTTCTTCAGCCCTCAAATGTGGGTGGAAGTCCAGCTCCTGCTGTACTTCTGTGCCAGGTTGGCTGAAAGCTCTACAGGTCTCATAGACCCCAATACTTCGATTGTACCCTGGCTGTGAGGAGAGGGAAGCAATTCTCCAGACACATTCTCCTGGCTCTGTCCTGTGCCAACTCCTAACTAGTGATGTGCATGGTGAAAACCCAGTTTGTCCCAGCCCGTGCAAAACTGTCAGTGACACCCTCTCTCCACCCAATCAGCTGCAGCTGGGGTATTCCCTGCATCTATATGTGACACAGGGGCGGAGAATGCCCTGTCTGCAGCTGATTGGGCTGGGAGGGGGGATGTCACTGACAGTTTTGCTTGGGCTAGCTCAGTGAACACTCCTGTAAAGGTGCCCACACACCTTACAATTATCTGCAGATTTTCTGTGGTCAGATGGAAAAAGTGCAACAGATTGGGCCAGGTGGAGATGACTCCATCCACACAGTTAAGTGTAGATGGAGGAATCTGTTACACCTTTTCCATCTGACCACAGAAAATCTGCAGATTATTGTAAGGTGTGTGGGCACCTTAAGGCTCATCAGAGCAGTAAGAATGTTGAATTGAATGCACGATAGTGTGTGTTAAATGCGTGCTAGAGCACAGCACACCTACCGTGTACAAGGTGCATTGCCATTCTTTTTAATGACACCCCATGCACCTCCTGGCGGCTGCAGTGCACATTGCATTGTGGTGAAAAAGGTACATGCACTCCTTTTGTCACCGCAGCACACGTTATTGCAGTACCGAACACTGTGTTGCAACACACAGCCCGTCGGGAGGTGCGTTGGGGTGCCATTCAAATAAATAACAATGCAACGCACCTAGTGCAAGGTACCGCACACTAGGCGTGTTATGCAATAGTGTGCGCTAAGCACACAGAAGTGAATTCATCAAAACTGGAGCAAACAAAATCTGGAGCAGCTGTGCATGGCAACCAATCAGCTTCTCGCTTTTATTTTCAAATATTAACTGAACAAACTGAGAATAGAAGCTGATTGGTTGCCTTGGGCAACTGCTCCAGTTTCTGCCTGGTCCAGTTTTGATAAATTCCCCGACAGTATCTTTGTGTTTTACGCAATGCTGTGGTATGAGCAACCATTTTTTTTGCAACATTGTTTCTATCTGTCAAAAGCAATGATCATCAGTCTTTATGGAATTATTATTTACAGCCTTTCTCTGGCTAATGTATCTTCTTTCAACCAAGTCAGCCTGTATTCACACTGAGCAGATGTTTTTGAAACTTAACTAAGTCAGGTGTTTTTATTTTGGACAATTGAAAGCAGTAGATCTGTGACATCTACAGGGCTATTCACAAAAGGGTGAAGAGTTTGGAGAAGACATGAAAAGTGAAAAACCTAGGACAACGTAGCTGAACTGGAAAGTGAGCGGAATTGGAGAATTTTTCAAAAACAGCTATTTACAGCTCTGGTATACATAGGTCTAGGCAGCTTGCATAGCACAAAGCTGACTTTAGCAACACACAAAACAAAGTTCTCACATGTCAGCCTATGCATGGTGTTATCAAAGCATAATGAGGGACATCAATGCTGTCTCATGGCAAAGCAATGCTAAAAAGGAGCAGCGAGACAGATCGTGCAACAGGTTTATTACAAGGTTACAGCTTGAGTCATAAATTCCTCAACTGCTCTAAAGTAGCACCGCAACAGAATAACACCTGACCTTGACCACTATATAATTATGTGTCGGTGTAGAGTGGAAATCTGTCTCTTATCCAATTGTAAATGTCTCAGAACTTTGCAAACTGTTGCACTTGGCTGGCCAGAAATACAGATGCACAGGACTGTAAAACCTGTCACAGAGACTGCTGAATGAGAGGGAGCCTGACTTGCAACTACTTGTGTCGCTAGTTTGCTTGATAAATTCCCCCAAATAAGTACCTTTTCACAGGCTATCCAACCTTCAGTCTATCATACCTACTAGTCTACTGCTGCCAGACTCATCCATCCAAACCAATCACTCAGTGTCTGCAACCCCTCCCCCCCCCCCCCCCCCT